ATCTGAAGAGTCATAACTGGTTTGGCAACATTATTGTAATAAAAAATTATTAAGAGTACTTGAAATTCATACCCAACACATGGAGCATATGAAGGCTAAGGGTACAGAGGAAAAGTGTCCCAAAAGACACAAAGCCACCTGGAGGGTGTCTCTCTCCCCAGGCCTCACATAAACTTCTGAGAATATTATTTCTCAGAGGAAGGAGCTAACATATTTTTTAGCAGTACTCTTTTTTCTGACTACGAATCAAAGAAATGTGTCTCTGGAGGTACATTTTGCTTGACTTTCTGTCCTGCACTGCTTTACATTTGGAGTGGCTCTATTTGAAGTAGGGCTGTTGTGAGCTTGTTCACTTTCATTTATTTTTCTTGAGGTGTCAAACAGAGAAGCAGAATGGCATTCCGGTCCCTTTGAGGGGCTGTTTATGCTTTGCTTCCCATCTGAGATACAAACTGCAACTATTCCCTACAACTGAATCCCAAGAAGATCTGATGCAAGCTATGGTTCCTATTCCCCGGTAAACACATCTAAAATACTGAAAACAATTTTGGCAGTATTGCTCATTTCTTGGTCCGTTGAAGTCCATCTAAGAGGGGTCCATGTCCATGGGCAAGAGGTGGATCATCTCTGCTATATAAAGACTTGTTTCTACCTTCCTCCTTTTTTTTCTTCTTCCTCTGCTTTGCTTTTTCTTCAGATCAAGTCAAGACATAATACTTCGGTAATGAGTATGGTTGAAAATCGAGCACAGAAAGAAGGAAGACATGCACTCTCTACTTGTATTTTACCAAGTGAAATTCTGAGTCTGATGTTTGGCTACGGCCAATTCTGATATTCAGCATTTGGAGATCATGGTTACACAGATGATTTCCCAAGGGCAGAGTAGCAAATAGTCAAGGGCCAAGGGCCTGGGCCACCTGAGGGTGAGCCTTTGAACTTGCAATTCCACAGGCTAAAAATGCTCTTCTGTGATCTTTATTTGGCTCTCTCCTCCTCATCGACTGGTCTCAATTCAACTACTCCCTTCTAAGATAATCTTTTCCTGTCTATCTCAAGTAGCTCCCTTACCAACAAGGCTCCACCTGTTACCCTATTCAGTCTTTAAAGTACTTACTATCTGATGTAATTATTTTTTGTTACTTAATTTTTCTTTCAAACTTCTACATCATTAACTGGAATATAAATGACCAAAGAGGAGATATTTTCACCGGCAACATTCTCCCTCCTATCCTCAGCATTGAGAACAGCATGTGGAATTCAGGAAAAAATCACAGAACATTTTGGATGAATGGATAGAAGGTAACTAAACTGAGGGTCAGAGACATTCTCATCTGTGATTTTTAAACCTGTATTTCTATACAAGTGTGTAGCTTCTCAGGGACATTGGAGTTTTATGTGGAAAGTAACAATACTACTGATGTGAATGTTTCTAAAATGTGCAATTGTTGCTATATTTCTGTTCTATCATTTTTCACAGATTTCAAAAAGTGTCATAAAATATTATTGTGTCAGGGACCAGGCAAGCGACCAGATGGTTGAGAATGATTTATTTCCTTGATTTTACATTACTGAAGAAAGATTGCAGAACTGCAGCAAGTTCTTATCTCTGAGCTTACAGAATATGAAAGATAAAAGGTACCTTGAAGTTCATCTATTCCAGATTCATTTTTAATTTAAAAAGCCATTCTACACCACCAGTGACATGGTTATCTGACCTTGACTTTAATATTTTAGTGATGAGACACTCACTATTCTATAAGATAACCTGACTCACAACTGGACAGATTTTGATGAGCAAGGTCTTCCTTCTATTGATTCAAAATTTCCTTCCTGTAACTTCTGGCCCTTAGAGCAACAATGCGTAAGTCTAGTTCCTGTTCAGAATTATGAACACTGAAATACTTGAACACATCTAAAATGTCTCTCTCTAGTGTTTTTAACTTTAGAGTAAACATCCCAAATACTTCTAGCTGTTATTCACATGTTTCTTCTTTTAGACCCTCGTCTTCCTACTGGATTATCACTGGACACACTGCAGTTAAGAAACATATGTTCTCTAGGGCAAAGTGGAATTAAGTCTTATTTTTAATTATGGATTTAATTGCATTTGTGCCATAAAGCTACTAAATGATCCACTTTTGTAAGTTAGCAATGCATATAATTATGTACTATATAATTACCAATATCAGCATCTGTTATTAATTGTAAAATACAAAAACAGATTATTCTGATAATGAACTTCTTAATTGGCTAGAAGTCTGTGTTTAAAGAGCATCATATAACTAACAATATCAGCTAGCTAGTGAGGTCTATTGAAAAAACATGAAAATATTCAAAATAATCTAGGCTACCAATTTGCACATTCATAATAATGTGGCTTCTTTCAACAATTTTAGACATCTTGAAAGTAAAGAATCCAGTTATAAAGAACTATTAGTGAAAAATTCCAAGCTGAAGTATTAAAACTGAATTCTGTGTTTTCAAAGAAAAAGATTTTAAAAGTCAAACTGAACACTTTTCATCTGAATAAAGTGAAGAGAATTTGACCATACTCAGACTTGTAGGAAACTGATGTCTTCCCAAACGTATGTTTTGTCATCCTTGTGATCTCAGTCATAGTTATAATTATATCTTCAGACCTGATTATTAAGGCAGAAATTATATTATGTTGTGCAGCACAGTAATTTTCAGTATTGACCTGCTACTTCTGAAAGTCAACAGATGGTTTGAGTTCACATTAGGGAAGTCGATGGCTTCAATTCACACGTCCACATACATCTATATTGCAATCACCTATTCTATTAATGCGTAACAGTAAGTTAAAATGCATCTGACTAGCCACAATTACATTTTCATTATATACTATCTCAGAAATATTGCTGTTTTCTGTGTTATGGCATGAACACGATTTCGCTGCTTATGTTAACTGGCCATCCTATTACAGACTCCAGCCAATATAGTATTGCTTTTCACCTACAGCAAAAGATCTCACATACACTAAGGCACCTAGAAACACTGATGCAAGAATGTTTTGTTCTATTAACTCTACCTTATGTATGCCTTCTCACTCATGCCAAATGTTACTACACACAATACATTCAAAGTTGTAATATCCAAATACAATGCTTCTGTGGTGTATGGAATTAAAATGAGTACTTTGATTATATTTTAAAGGAGCTGAGTTATTCGGTAATTTCAGTAATTCTAATTATGAATTAGATTGTGTCTTCCCAAATTTCACGTTTAAGTCCTAACCTTCATACCTGAAAATGTAATCTTATTTGGAAATAAGGTCATCGCAAATGTAATGAAATTAAGATGAAGGCATATTTGAGAAGCATGTGCTCCAATGTGAGTTGGTGTTCTTATGAAAAGAGGAATCTGGAGACAGACACATATGAGGAGAATCTCACATGGAGACGAAGGCACAGATCAGGGTGGTGATGTTTTTATGGGAGAAATGATAGAAAAGTTGCCCGAAAACCTCTAGAAGCTAGGGAGAAGCTTGCAACACATTCTTCCTCACAAGTCTTTGAGAGAACCAATTCGGCAGTTGTACTGATTTTGAATTTTTAACCTCCAGAACTGTAAGACAATACGTCTCTGCTGCTGAAGCTACTCAGCTTGTAATACTTTCTAACCGCAACACTAGCAAATAAGTACAATTCCAAAACTTTTAAAAAATATTTGCTACTCTTCTTTGGGGCATGCATTCAGAGCCCAGAACATGGCATCTTGAATATTTTTAAATGTGGCATGTTCTTGTCATCTCCAGTGAATTTTTCTGACAACCAAAAGTTACTCATATCTAAGACATGAGCACTACAGATCACATTTATAAAATGTGTTATGAAAATATATTTTTATTTAGTTAAATATAGCATTCAAATTAATCCATATATCTTTTACTGGCAGACAATCTAAAAATGTTTTTCATGATAGTATTTCTTGGGAAATACTAAAGTAATTATATTGAAATATGTAAAAATGCATGTTTTATAAATTCTGTTTCATTTAAAGTTGCATTCATTATAGCACATAATAGTATAAACAGTTACTTTATTTTAAATTATTGCTTTAAGTTACCCAGGTATATGAGCGGAGATACATCTTGGGACTGATACCAGCTTAAGCAGTTTTCCTTCTATCTGATTTATATTTTGAGTTTTCATCCTACACCAAGACGGCCCAATAAAATTTTCAGTAATGATAAAAATGTCCTATATTTGCATTTTCCAGCGCAAGAGCACTAGTCACAAGAGACTGCTGACCACTAGAAATGTAGCTAGTGCAACCCATGAAGTGAAATTTTAGTTTAATTTAATTTTAATAGAAATAACCACACAGACTGGCTATTATACTGAACACGGCAATTCTAGGTTTTAATTTGAAATTAGGATTTCACTAACAGTGTGAAACTCTCTACTGAAAATGAAGGACTAGGAAAACTTTTTCTAATAAAGAGTAACTGATGATTCAGATAAATTCTTCCAGAACACACAAATATGCTGAATGTCTTGGTACATTCTAGTGAGTACAAATCTTCAACAGCCAACTAAAACCGACATCTCTAGTCATCAGCCAGCAGGGGGAGCTGAAGAGTAGTATAGTCTCTTGAGAGTGAGTTTTTCTTCCTCTACATCTGTGGAGGCAGAATTCATACCCTGTCCAGGAACTCCACACTCTGTGCTTCCTAAATATCTAGAGTCAGCTACATAAGATGCATATGTGCTTGTTCTCAAAGGATCCCTGGTAGCTGTAACAGAACTTGGTTCCAGACAGTAAAGCTCATAACCAAATTAATTATAGAAACTGATCTTTTCCAAAGATTTTTATATTGGGTTTTAACTTTATCCTATTTCTCCTTTATATCACACACACACAGAAAATGACTTTTGGATTTACATAGAAAAGAAAAATTTCATTCTCATATTGTTGATTCTTCGAAGTTCTTTTAAGAAAAGTTTTGTCCCTGCTAAGTTAACCACAGATGGCCTTACCTCCTGATAAAGGTCACTGAGATCTTCCTGGTGAGCCTGTTTGGAACATCCTGGGAATTCCCTAACACAGCAGGAATCTGGAGGCCAGTCCATCTCTGTCATTTCCAGCCAGTCAGTAAAATACACGACTCCACAGCACTTAAACTGAAAAAGAATTAGATTCAGAAACTGCAATATTTTTTAACTTATGGGAGATTAAACATTAGACTTCTTAAATTTTTGTTCTCTGAGCTAAGCTCACTTCATTCATCACCTAATGATATGTGTACATTCTATGTTGATATTGGCTAACCAATATCAAGAACATCATGGTTAACCACTCCATGGTGGACCGATTCTCAACAATAATGCCTATAGCACATAAAAACAAGTCAGATATAATGGAGTCTCAGTCCCATCTAAGGGCCTCTAGAGTTGGTCATAGAGCGACAGATTTAACACACACCTTAGCAAACCCAATAGCTCAAATTTTAACATTACTATTAACCTCTGGCCACTAGAGAATAGTAAATTAATCCTTTTGGATATTACCTAGTTACTGGCTTAACTGCTCAACAAATTCAAATATATTAAAAGTTTCCATAATCTATGTAGAAACATTTGTTCACCAAAGCCCACAACACAAAAATTCCTTAACCAATCAAACTGCCAAAATCTTTGGGATATAATCATAGCTTTGGGCAATGAATTTTAATTCAACAGAGTTATGTTCTTGAAATAAATGACCATATTCTGTCATAATCTCAGAAAAAAAGTGTGCCTTTAGCTTGAGTGAAGTTAGATTTAAGAAAAAGTATGTTTTTGTTCTTAAATTACAGTTAAGGAACTACATGTTCCTTTTTTGTGTCATTTCAACAAAGAGAAGCAAAAACATTCTCTGACGTAGGTTTAGAAACGTTGCTTAAAGGTATGTACAGATTAGATTCAGAACAATTAAGTATCATGAAAAATTTTTTGCCTTGGATAAAAGAGAAGAACCCTTCTATATAGTCAAAGGCAAGGAATATGGGTAGTCATTGAGAAAAACTCTGCCAAGAGTGACTTGCTATGCAAATTATGTAGCTCAAGAGATTAATTTGTGTTCAAGATTAACACTGCATTACAAAATATCACAATCCGCCATTTCAAAGTTTAACTACAGTCACCTTTGAAGAATACTGAACATTTCATGCAAAAACACATACTAAAATTTATTTTTAATTTTTTATTGTCTTGTGTAAAAAAGTAAAATATCATCTTAAGAGTATTATAAATGATGGATACTAAAATCTCTGTAATGCTATAATTTTGAGAAGCTTCTAAAATATTTTTAGCATTTTCCTTTTATAAACTTGTCTTAACAGCTATGGAAATACTATAAACTGCACAAACTGAGTCAGATTCAAAAGCCACGAGTATAATATAAGCATCACAGTTTAAGCCAAACATAATTTGACATCACATATTTTACACAATTCATTGATTATCCTTAAAAATATACAGATAGTACAAAGATTTCACATTCTAAAAATCCTAAACTACTGCATTTCCAAGTCTAACTTTCCAAACCCTCACACTCAGAAAGCCCATTTCTCTCATTTCCAGATAACATGAGTGCTTTTCACGTCGATGACAGAAAGGCAGCTCTTGGAACACTCAGACTCTATCCATAATGGAACAGCCAGTTGATCTGGCTTTGTCAGGAAATGAGGTGTTCCACAGAATGACTTTTCAAAATAACTTAAACCTATTATGTTAAGTGACAGATTTTTTAAATTTTAATAATGGCACTGAGATATTTTTCTTTTCTGTAGTTGTTTTTCTTGCTAGATAGATTTTAGTGAATTTATTATTTAATGCAACTTTTTCTGAAAACTCTACTTTAGATACATTTCATGCTACATCGACACTATGTAGGCTATGGTTGACATCCCCTTGTCATTTTTCTGTCTCCTTTAGCATTGCATTGTAAAAAGCTCTACACTTGCCAGCGCTGTTTCCAGCTCTATCGTCACCATATCATATGGTCACCATTATATGGATGAATGAACTGAGGTCCTGAGAGGGTCAAATAACTTCCCAAGGTTACAGGCCAGCAGGATATAGAAAGTCCTATTTACTCCAAAGCCTGTGATCCAACCACTCAGTTAAAAAACAAGCAAGCACATTTTAAAAAATGAGTCTTCAAAAAAGGCATCTAATAAATGGCCCTAGGACTTAAGCAAGAGCCCACTGAATTGACACATATGCACAGAATAGCTCTGAATGAGGAATCAGAGGAACGGGAACCTGAGAGGTTGACTTTGTTTCAATTTATTTTGGAAGAGAGGTGTTACAGGCTGAATTGTGTCTGCAAATTCATAGCCTCCAGGACTTCAGAATGCAAAGTGTTTTTGCTTAGGGTCTTTATAGAGATAATTAAAGAAAAATAAGACCATTGGCCTTATGACAATACAACTGACTTCCTTATAAGGAGAGGAAATTTAAACAGACCCGTAGAGGGGTGGCAACAGGAATACACAGGCCGAAGATGGCCTAGGAGAGAAGCCTCAGAGAAGCCATCACTGCCAGCACCTTGACGTTGAACTTCAGCTTCCAGAACCATGGAGCAATAAATCTGTAATGAGCCACCCAGTCTGTGACGCTTCGTGATGGCAGGTCCCAGTAGACTATCATTAAGGGCTCTAAAAGCACAGGATGCTCCGAGGTCTCCACCTTCAATGTAAAATAGCCATCTGACATGAAGAAGGGAACATACCTTGTAACGCGTCCAAAGACAACATGCTGTCTTTTGGAGTGCTTGCACATTGCCCGTCTAGGTGGAGTCCCCACCAGAAACAAAACAATGCAAGAGCTCGCTTTGTTTTTAACAAAATAGTTCATATCATACATTCCAGAAAATGAAGATCTCTGAGGAGCTATGCAGGACAGTAGCTGAACCCGTGACTATAAATTCCCTGGTGCCTTACTTATTTCCCTTTGTGTTGTTTTTAGTATAATTGCACAGTAAACAAACAAAGTCAGGAAGCGTTTAAATAAACAGGAAATCTGTGTTTCATGATAATTTTAACCATCTCAATGGCTGAAACACAAATAGCCAGATTTGGGAATTGTCCCGGATTTGAACCTCTGCCCAGCACACGGCAGAGGAACTGGGAGGGGAGGTGGACATCAGGTAAAATACCCATTCTCCTGTGCTGGACAACCCAGCACTAACACAGATTAAAGGGTACTGGCAATACTTGACTATCTGGAAATGTCACCACAACCATAAGGAAGTGGCTTGGGAGAAGAACTGGGTTTGAAGCAAGAGCAATGATTAACTTCAAGTCGAGAGATTTTGAACATGTTTGAGATGGGTGGGTGCAGTACTATATGGTTTGGAAAAAAAGGCCAAAAGCCCCTACATTGTAATGTTATCTTTAACAACCACAAGCTGAAAAGTAAATTTATATTCCAAATTTGATATCATTTAGTCTTCTCAACACACTGAAGAGGTGGGTACTTTTTTAACCCCATTTGACATGTGAGGAAATTGAAAGTTAAAGAGGTTAAGTAAATTATCGCAGTGCAAGAGAAAGCAGTAGAGCCAAAATTTAAGCCAAGGTCCTCCTGCCCAAAATGATACATATATCGACTGGAAATGTCCAAATGAGAATGATCTTCAAAACTGAAAACCTGTGGGTTGCAGTGCCCTGTGTCTGTCATCCCAGCACTTGGGAAGTTGAGTCAGGAGAACAAGTCTGAGCCCAGCCTAGGCAATTTAGTGAGAACAGAGAAAATGAACAAAACCAAACCTTTAAACATCCATTTGAAAGTGTGGCACTTATTTTATACTCTGTTCTCTAAAAATCACAGCACTTACCTCTCTTTGAAAAAAATTCCAAGCGTGAGTAAGCCACCGATATCTAGGTAAGCCATAATTTGTCATTCTAGCTTTCAAAGTAACCATATCTGACCACTGTACTGGAACCTGGAGATAAAAAGCAAAATGTCAACTCACAAACATACACTGAAGAACATACTCACATACTTTAAAATACAATCATTCCTTTACTGACACACATATTTGGACTATATTATAATTGACAAATGCTATTTTAAATTAATATTTAATTGTGGCCTAAAACTCGTATCGGCAAAATTGACATTTAAAAAATGACATAACCCCCCAAAAAAAAAACGAAAAGGAAGAGATGAGTAAATAAGACTCTAAGAGAACTCAAAATCAGGAAAGTTTTGAAATCTTTTTATGAAGAAAAATACTATCAAGAGAAATAGTATAAAAATTCTTGACCACATAAGTTTTTAATTTTTTTCTGCTGATGATCGTACTTACTTGGACACGTGCACAACACAAAATAAAATACTCAAACAGTGGGGGACACAATTTTGCTATCCAGAGAATGGGCTGATTGGGTATATTCTGTTTTCATATGGTTATAACGAGGCCCAGAGAACTAACCAAAGTCCCCACCTCCCAGCATGAATCAGTGTTACTGCAGATTCTTGGGGGGCACACAATAAATGGAAGTGAAATAAATTCCCAAGAAATGTATAACCCAAACCAACAGATTTTATCTAGAGAGGGAAAAACAAATAGGAGGTGAATATGTATAAACAACAAAAATATGGAAGCAGACTGATGTCAAGTCTCATCGCTTAGTTAATATAACCATCTTTTAAAATTTTTTTTACTCCCCAAAATAAATATGGTTTGTTTCTTCATTGTAACCACAATCACTCTGAGACCAAGTGTGGCAAGAAAACAGAAGAGAGCGCTGAGGTTCTGGCACCAACTACCGGGATCTGGCTGTAAAGTAACACACACTGACTGGTTCCTTGCATGAAACCACTTAAAAACACAAAGCCCCGTCTATGTAAAGCCTGGGTCCTGCAAACCTCGGCAGATAATAAACTTTAATAGGACTTTTCAGTCACGCTGCTGTTAGCACAGAAGCCATAAAAAATGTGAGCAATTAAACAAAACTGCTTTCCACATTTCACTTTTAAACAACCCTTACTCTATCCTGGTGATGTAATGGGGAGGATTTACGCAAGCAAAACATGAGATGTGCCCTCAACTGAACTGGCAGCGTGCATTCCGCTAGTGCTCCACACTCAGAAGCCACTTGCAGACTGTCCTGCAGTGGAACACAGCAACTAAGCCAATATCAATTCCTGGCAATTTCCTCATGCTTATTAGAATTATATTAGAGTCCAAAGATCCCTTTCAAACACCTTGCATTCATCCCTTTAGCCTTACTATAATGAAATTTGGCACATCTATAGCAAATACGCTACACAGTCCATTAAAAACCCTCAGAAAGTGAACTCATTTCGAAGCATCTTTGACTTACCAAATAGCACACAGTCAAAAGCTGAGGTAAGGGGATCAAGAATCAGTCATAAGATTTACTCTCTGTTGCCTGATTGTCAGGGATATAAATTTACTACTGGAAAACAGAAAAACTTAACAAAGGCAACCTCTTTACTACTAACACTCAAAGTCAGAGCTCCTAACTTTTTTTTTTTTTCATTTTCCTAAATAAACTTTCTAGGAATGGTGTAAAACTGTCATTCTCAAAGACGACAGGAGAATTACTATTTTAATGGGAAATTTTATTTTGAAGAGGAGTCTTAATCCAATTAAAACCTGCCTGAGCTTTTGAACTTTTCATCAATTCTTTCTTCCTTCTGAGAGTTGCACACATTGGAAGCCCAGAGTCTACACAGGGACCCTACAGTAAAGGAGACTGAGCAGCACTGACGCGTAAAGTGCAGCATGCACAGCGTGCTGTTGTCTGAAACTGCCACTTAGCATTCAAAACAGCCCCACAAAACAGTAGCAGATTCACCATAAAACCTTTAACAACCGCATCAGCGCCAGGACTGACTTCAGTTTTATTACACATCTGCCCAATGCACCTATTCCCTCCAAAATAAATACGAAATAATTACCCGTTCTTTTTAAAGGTTCTTGAATTTTAAAATGTTCAAAACTCACTGGAGAACTTGTCTCAGATGCTGAGGCCCAGGCCCTGCCCTTTCCTCCCTGCTTTCCCTCCATTCTGATTTAGCACGCCTGGGCTAGAGCCCCAGAATGCACATTATTAATAATCACCCCTTGTAACTCCTACTGCAGACGGTCCAAGCACTACATGTTGAAACACCATTTTCCTGAGACGATTCTACAGTGCTCACAGTGGGAAAATCTGGATGGCCTCCATAGAAAGCTGGCATTCAAGACAGGCAAAAGCCCTCCACCTCATGACAATACATGCACTAATTGTCACCATTTACTCAGTGTGAGCAAGAGTGGTGCAAGTGACAAACCGAACCTGAGGGGTACAATCTTAAAATTAAGAAACTCCTATCCATATTCACAGCAGCATAGCTATGAAAGCTGCAATGGCTGAAATAAAGGAGAAAGAAATGCCGAAGAGCTGTTTTAAAGTAGCCAAATCTTAAACTGTGAGGATGTTTCCAGACTGCAGTAAACACACAGAGACTCTTAAAAACACTTCTGAGAGTGGAATGTGGAGCAGTGTTTGCAAACAGGAGGTGCACGCTTCCTGGTCACTGGTTTCTGCTGTAATCAGCATCTTACAGGCTTTAAGGAGATGTCAAGCATTTGTAAAGAAATCATGTTGCATATGCAAATCTTTCCCATTATTAACTTAGAAGGTGGTAAAATTATTTTAGATGACGTATAGTTTTAGTCAATGAAATCCATGTTAAAGCATTCTGTGGAATTAAAGACATATATCATAGTATACCAAATTATGGCTTGGAAATGTGCTTTAAACACAGAAAAGTAAATGTTATTTTTCAAAGTATTTGGATTGTTCATTGCAACTACATAGCCTGAATATTAATTATCAATAATCACTTGTCTAATAAATTAATAATTGTGTTGAAACTACTCTAAAGCATGTGATTTAAATAGTTGAACTGGATATTGTTTTAGATTGTAATTATATTTCACTTTGGACTCACCATAAGTTCTTGCTCATATGTCCATACTCCACAAGCCAGTTCTACACAGAAAATGACAAGTAAACTTCCAAAGTACTGCAGAAAAACCAAAGCATGTCATTAGTACAGAATATAAATAAAGTACGGTCATCAGAGACAAATCAAATGTTATTCAATCTTGTATTTATCTATGGACAAGAAAACAGAATCAAGTTCTCAGGGAACAGATGAGGAAAATTTAGCAAACTTAAAAACACCTGCAAATGATATTTAGTACTTGCCTAAGTGGACTATATTTTATTGGTATTGTTATTTATATTTATATGCTACTGGAACAAGTTTTTCATACATAACAATTCTTTCACTGGGCTAAATAATAATTTACATATTACAGTATGATAAAGTATAAGTTCTCTGCAAAATTGGACCTAGTTTCTTTCAAAGTGGATGAGTCAAGATTAACAAGTTCAGTGTTCTGCCTGTTGGAACACTTTCACCCACTCTAAGCAAGAGGCCCTTCTTTGCATTCTTAGAAAAACACCATTTAAAACAAAATCCCAGCGAAGCTACCAATGACAACTTAAACTATGTACCATACTAGGTTTCTATTATGGGGTAGTCCTACAGTTTATTGAAAAAATATCAGAAATTCTGAGGAGGCCTGGATAAGCAAGAAAATAAAAAATTTGAATGCAATCTCAAAGCAGAGATGAAGATAAAAATTCAGGACTCCTGTGAAATAGAGAATCATGCAAAGTCCTAAATGGTGAGAGAGACGGGAATAAACAGAAGAGAAGCATTTTACGCAAACAAGAAACATGAGAAGTGAATAGAGGGAGCTGGAAAGTACAGCCAAGGGACAAGGAACAGGAAACATCCCCATAGCAGAAAGAAAAATGATAGATCAATCGGAAAAGCAGATTAAAGTCAGATTATAACAAACTTTATTTATTTATTTATTTTTTTTTTAATTGAGTTTATTGGTACATTTAGGGATACAGTACAGTTACATTCATTGTTGTGATATCATACCT